GGTCTTCCACTGAAGTGATCTTTGACTTCAGAGTTAACTGCACTTTGCTATTGTTTGTCTGAGAGGCTTCACTATGAATACAGAGTGACTTCTCTTTGCTCAATGTCTCCATAACAGAAGGTGGAAAAATGGAAGGTGATAAATCTAAACTGGAACACGCATGTTCTCTGTGATTTTTAACTTGTACGCTTGCCTTTGACAGAGAGTTGATCTGATCATCTTGGATGGTGTCAGCACAACTATTGGTGGGCTCATCACATGATATTTCCTGTGTAGCAGGTACAGTAGAGATGGCAGTTGGTTGTGAAATAGACTTTTTCACAGTCAAACAGCTGTCTATTACAAGATTAGTTCCTGCTTTCCTCTCTCTAGCAGCGTCTATCTCCCCAGTGATCTTTGGTACCAGACAATTTGATTGTTGGTCAGCCATCTCTGAGGCCTGCTGGACATCAAACATCAGCTCATGTTTCTCTGCCTCATGGATTTTCTCCACCAGCTTCGTCATCTGTTCACTTGACCTTTGGGATAATTCATCTGGACAGCTTGACCTTTTCTTCACCTTCCTTCTGCTTTTTACTGGGGGAGCAACATTAGATGTGTCTAAGTTTTCTTCAGCAGCAAGGCCAGTAATGTTTGATGCCTCAGTGTTTTCTATAGCCTGGCAATGCTCCTGTAACTGAATGTGACAAGAGCTTTCTTCTTCCATTAAATCCCCACACAGGGATTTGATTTCTTCATTGTTTTCTGTCTTGTTTCCTCCCCTCATCATCTCTGTTTTTAATATTTTCTCCTCTGCTGCTGAAGTCTCAGCCTCATGACTTTCTAAAGCTGGTACTTTTTTATCTTTAGAGTGGCCAACTATATCCAAGGGAGTCTTTTTGTCCTTAGTCCTTGATCTGCTCTGGTATTTAGAGCTTTTATTCAGCTGACCACTTGCAGGTCTTGTTGGAGTTTGGCCCCCTACAAAAGTGTAGGGATCCACATTAAAATTCACCTCCTTTATTCCTTGTTCAGTAGTAGAAACATCTTTCTCCCCACGAGCTTTGAAAATACTTTTCCTTTTTGGTCTCAGTGTTACTTCAGCTGGACAGGATTTCACTTCCTGGTCAGCTTTTGTATGGTGAGGTGAACTGACAGGAGTTTTACAGGCATCAGCAGATTGTGGACTTTGTGCCATTTTCTGCTTGGTAAAGGACAACTTTTTAGCATTGATTTTGTCTTTTGTTGTTATCAACCTATTGCCACATGTTCTGTCTACATTTGTCAACAGTTTGTTGCAACTTGTTTGATCTAAGTTTGTCACCTGTCTGCTGCGATGTGTTAGATCTAAGTTTGTCTCTGGTAAAGTTGCCAGCCAGTTCCTGACACCTTTCTCAGCTTGGAAGACATGTTGCATGCTCCTTGTGTAGGTCCTGGAGACTGCAGGCTTTGGTTTACTCAGCTGTTGGGTGGAGGAGAGGCTGGAGGGTGGGGAGCCAGGAGGGGTGGGGCCCTGGTAATCCTCTGGCTCCTCTAGTACTCCAGGGGCTGGGATTGTGCTAGTTTCCTTTATACTTGTCACATTTCTCTGTGGATATCTAGATGTTAGTGCAGAGCCCTCAGAGTTATTTGATTCTGTTAAGTCAGTAAATAAGTTGGAGATTTCTTTGTTAACATCAAGCAAAGTGCTTTCTGTAAGCTGTCGAGGTAGCTTTGTTTTGAATTTGTCTTCTGTATTAAGTACATTTTCCCTTCTATTAACTGGGGAGAAACTAGCACCTCCCAATGAATTGATCTCTAGACAATGTAACAGCTGACTGGTGGCTGAGTTAGCTTTAGAGTGACCTGGGTCAGCACCACCTCTCGTGGTTGGAGCCACATCTTTATCTGGTGTAATCTTCTCTGCCACCATACTGATCTGATCATCCTTTGGTAATTCTGATGTGTTAGGTTTGTTTTTAGAACCATCATTTTGCTGGACAGGTTGTGACAGTAGACTATCTTCTTCCTGTCAAAAATTTTAAAGTTATTGACTGATTTAGATTTATATTAGATTCACAGACACTAATGTAATATAAAGAACAATTTTACTTACACTTTCCTTCAGTATTAAAGTCTTTGCTAATGAACGTCTGGTATTTCGCTTTGGCTGTTGTTTATTTACCCTGGGACTGGCTTTTCCAGGAGATAGAAGATGTGATGCATCAGTAACTAGAAAAATGTGTTAGAAAACATGATTTGAGGAAATATTAAGGTAGCTTTTTGCTACACATAGTGCATTAAAATAATACAGTGTTTTACAGTAAGTTACATTTCTACCATAAAAAAAGTGTTCCATATATGGTTAATGAGTTAACTTAAGCCATAAAATACCATGAACATCAGATGAACGTCTGGGTAGCTTGGATGTATTCCTTAAATTGCTCACTGGCTGAGAATGGAAATACAGATTTTAGTTTAGTTGTAAAAAAATGCAACAACTAAAACTAACATATCTATAGAACTGTGAAAAACTAATGACACCTAATTGATTATTAACAAAAGAGACTTAATTTACAATATTAAAGCAAATTATATGCAAAATACAATGGATCAAGGGCAACAAATATGTGTACTTCACTGCTTGAGCCATAAATCAAATACAATGGAACTATTCAATGTTCATCTATATTAGTTAAAACAGGACAGTAAGCTCTATCTCACAACTTATGCTCTTGTTCTCCCCCCACCAAAATAAAATGTCACAATATTGTTTGAAAAGTCTCAAGAAGTTCTTTTACTATCTCCATCCTTAATCATTTATCTATTATTTTAAAAAAAAATAGGAATTGCAGAATGTAGAAAAGAATCATCTATATATCATAATAGAAGTCAGGTTGATCCCAGCATGTAAATAAGCCAAGGGAGGTCACTTAAGCACTCACACTTTACTTTTACAATGCGGAACAAGACTACATTTACAAGACACAAAACAAGATAATTAACTTAATTTATAATTAAATAGTAAGAACTTCACTAAGCAGACTTACTGTAAGATCTCTGCTATTTCTTTTTGATTTCTTACTGCTATTAATTGTGCCTGAAGCGTCATCAAGGCAACTTTTTTTAGTTACTGTATCTGAAACAATGGCTTTATAAATCAAATTAAAATGTAACATCTTTATTAAAACCTACTGATATATAGTTATATTTTTCCCCACAAAATCAAAACATGTATAAACATACATTTTTCTCCAGTGTCAGTCTCAAAAGCAATAATGAGCTCCTTTACATTAGTAATGATATTGTTTAAGTCAGTTCTTTCTTGAAGTCCTCTGAGGAGAATAAATGTTTATACAGATTTCTAAAAATACAAAAATCAGTTTAATCTTTTAAAATATTTACAATATATAGTGAAAATATGAAGTTCTTTCAAAAAGTTTTTTAGCTTAACAGCTAACATGAAGTTTGCACAATACTAGCTACCAATGTGGAAAACTTGGGACATTTTAAAACTTATTTTTTAAAACTTAAAAGCAAATATTAGTGCAAAATTATTTTATACCTTTTGGTTACAGGGGCCTTGCATAATGGGCATGGTACTGATCGCTTGTTTAGAAGAAACTTGGTGATACAAAATCTAATGAAAAGATTGCTTTTTTTTAGATAATATATTATTGTATAACTATAAAACAACTGTAAACATCATCTTAATCACAATTTTAGGATTTTTCAAAGAGTAAAACCATACGCACTTAGCAGATGAGATATATTGTTTAAAAATATAAGTAGATCTATTACCTGCAAAACTGGTGATCACATTTTGTTGAGACAGGACATGAGAGAAGTTCAAGGCTACAAAATAAAGTTTTAGAAATATTAGACATTTGTATAGAATAGCCTATACAATTCACTATATATTTATATTAGTAGGCCTTATTAGATTTTACTAGCAATAGGCCTAAGTGGTACTAGATCTACTAGTACAAGTAAGCTATACCTAGGCCTAATAATATTCTATTCTTAAGTTAATATTATAACTTAGAACTAGGCGTAAATATAGGCCTAGGCCCTATTTCATTTTCATTTAAATTTACAACCAGGGATTATGCAAAATATAAATGGCAAGATTTAAGTCCTATCTAGGTTTTTACACCTCCCCCCCCCCTTTAAAAATCCAGACCCTCTTTTCTCTTTACACAAGTTTATAGATCTTCTATGCCTAATTAATGATTGAATTATTTGGAGGGGGTGGGCACTACTAAATGCGAATTAGTGGTCATCCTTAAACAATGCCACACTTTTTTTGATGATTTTACCCCTCACCCCCTTCCATCACACATCTTCACAAAAAAACCAGACCCACCCCCTAAAATGACATCACACCTCAGCCTACAACCCCCTCAAAATTGCAGTTTTTATAATGCAGAAGTGTAATGGTGTCACACAATCTGAACCCCACCCTCATCACACACCTTCACAAAATTACAGACCCCCCCCCCCCCCCCAAAGTGTGAAGTCATCGCCTTATGTAATAATTGTATTCCTAGTACTAGTAGCCTATATCTAGTAGTACTAGTACGTGTATAGTGTGTCTTCTAAACCTGAATTGTCGATCTAAATCTAGAATCTGTAAATAGATCTAGATCTATCTAGAATTTAGACCATTTGTTAATTTGTTAAGAACAGACAACAAAAAAAAAAAAACGTTTTACCAAATGGAACACTCGAGGTTCTTTTGGATTTGCGTTATGATGTTTCGAAAAGTTTCTTCCATGGTCTAGATCTAGAGTATTGTAAAGTCTAGATATTACCACAATACTTTAAACTTTATTCTTCATGGTAAAACTTGATCCACTCATAATTTTAGAACAGTATTCATACATTACATTATTTTAACTATCGAGATCTTAGATATCTTAATGACTACAAATAGACACTATGAGTAGGCTAGTTATACAACCGCGGTGTAGTTATCTCAAGCGCTCGCGCGCTCAGTGTTTACATCTTTTTTACTGAAGAATCTATAACTTCCGGTGTTATAAAGGCTTGTTATTGACAGCAAACAAAATAGACTGTGTGAATGATAGATAGTAAATTAGACACTATCAAAGTAGCATAAATTGAGTATTCATCGTGTAGACATAAAAATGTAGCAGTTTAAAAAACATACATCTAATAATTTAAGTTTGACTTCCCTAGAGAAAGCCTACTAAAAATGGCATCTCCTGGGAAATCACCAGATAATTCTTCATCTGCCAAAAAATCTCACTCTCAAACCAGACTTGGATCAGCTAGTGTATTTAATACCAACTCGGGATCCAACATAGGAGGTTTAATGAAGAGAGATAAACGTACTGTGGCTGTGTATTTAAAAGAAGAGAGCTCAAAAGCAAACAATTTAAAACCACTCATCGATCATTTAGATTACATTCTTGATCCTCACAAACCAATAGATGACTTTGAAAGTTTGGATTCATGCAAATGGTTTATCGCAGGAGGACTAACTTTTGAAGAATTTGGGAAAAAAGGCAATGTTATTTTAAATCTCTAATTGTAATTAGTAGTTTTTCTCACTAAATCTAGAATTTACGCAATTATCAATTTAAACATGACCACTGAATAATAGACATCCATATTAAATTATTAATCCATTAGGCACTAACTTTGGAGTTTTTAGTTCGTTTTAAACTAAACTTTATTGTTAGGAAGTGGCTATTCGGATCCGGGTCCCAATATTTTGTTGTCTTTTATTCTAATTAGTTATGCGGATTATCTAGCGTTAGTTCTTGTGTTGCTATTTCTAAATACCCTATATTTAGCTGTATAGGCCTATAGATAATCATTAAATACTGAGTAATTATTGGAAGTCGTTGTGGTCGAGTGGAGAACGCAGTACCTTGATCAGTTGCGGGATCGGAACCTATCAAAAGTGTATTTATCGAAGTTTAACATTCGATTGAGTTGTTTGCATAGGTGTCTTTTTTTCAATTGATTTTCTTTTCAAGATTTAGGTTTTAAACACACCAATTATAAAAAATATCCATAGATCGACTGCTCGCGTTTTCTGGTCAGCACAATAAAAATACCGACACGGTGTAGCCAGGGTCACTGTGAGTTCACTTTGGTTTAGTTAGATGTGAACAGTGTAGGCTTATGGCTTATAGCATATGTCATAGCAAGACCATAGATATATGAGCTTGTCGAGATTTGTCATCGTCGTAGTCTCCCCCCGCCCCCCCCCCCCTCCCAACCCAGCAAGAGGGAAAAATGGATTTGGGGTCATTCTGAGTTCAAATGTTACATATTGCTTCTATTAAAGCGTACTACAACGCATGCGAGATATTCGTGTTCAAGAAAACGGGTCCAGGAGCTGTAGTCTGCAGCCTCTATGAGCTATCTTATACAATTTTATATATATATATATATATATATATATATATATATATATATATATATATATATATATATATATATATATATATATATATATATATATATATATATATATATTTGGAGGGATAGACTTATGAAATCAAATTATGTTTAACAGAAGAAAAAATAAATAAAACACATTTTTACATGCACGCTCAACATTTGCTCGGCCATAGAAGTTCATACCATAGGCCATAATTATATTATAGTTATAGACCTAACAACACCCGCTCATCATAACATTTGTCAGTAATGATATCGGTTATTTAAAGCAAGATCTCAGTATATCATTTAGAATTACAAGGGATAAAAATCACAACAGAAAAGATATATACTGCATCTTAAAAGAATTTTTGTATAACTAAATCTTAACAATTCTATTGGCTGGTCCCAATAGCGGCAGAGGCTATTAGGACCCGGGTTCCAATAGCGGCCGTGGCTGTTGGGACCCGGGTCTGAATAGATGCATCCTTATTGTTATTATAAATCCAGGATGAAATGTATAGTATATCACTGATTTATTTGAGGCAAACATGATTTATTACTTTGCTAATGGCTAATGTAAATGTATGTATGTAATGTTCACAGAAAAAGACTAGATCTAGTTCTAGATGTAGGTCTGGTTTTAGCTTTTTCATAAAAATGTGGCCATTTAAAAAATATTTAGTAGATCTAGGTCTACTTAAAAAACTTAAATTAGTTTTGAAAAACTTGCTTCGAAGATCTATAATAATAGCTTCGATGTCTGTCTGTGTATCTATCAAACTTTAATCTATCTATCTGTCAAGAACGCTATAGAGAAAACATAAGCAGAATAAAAACATGCATAGTAATTCGAAAAACAAAACGTGACGTCACATGGATAATAGTAGAAAATAGTCTCAAGCCGGACAGTGCACACAATGATGTCATTGATTCTCGAGTAAACATTAGATTAAAAAGCCAATTTTGTCTAATCTTAAAAGTGGTTTGCTTGCAGAGTTTCTTTCATGCAATTATTCGGTTAGGCCCCCCCCCCCTCCAAAGAACGTTTAAGCCGCCCCCCCCCCCCCTTAAAGAAATGACGTCATCGATACTCCATAATAAAAATACTGACATTACGGCCTAAATTATGTGTCTAATGTTATAATAAGTTTTGCGTGAAGAGTTTCTCTTCTGGTAGGGGCAAAGCCCCTTTATTCCCCCCCCCCCCCCCTTCCCCGAAGGTAGAATGCCTAATTTAGTTATAGAGAAGATTTATACATTTACCAGTGTCGTCCTCCCCCGACCCGTCAAAATTTATTGGCCCCTGCAAAAATTCAAGTGCCCCACCCCCAGAAAAAAAGCCTGAAAAGAACACTGTCTGCGTGAGTAAAATTTATCGGTCAAAAGTAAGAAACAGGTCTATATTATAGAAGTAGACTCTAACTTTAGTTTGTATGAGCTACAAATGCGATCGGGGGGGGGGGGGGGTTCTTGAAATTTTCGGGGGTGTCGGTGGACTAAATTTTGTGGAAGGTGGCGGACACAGGTAAAAATATGTTTTCTCTAAAAAGTATTTTTCGTTTAATGGGACTGTAGACTCTATGAATACATGTATTATAAAGTCACTACACCAGCTGTGCTTATTCTAATTATTTTATAAAATCTGATTGAGTAAAGTGTATATTTATTATATAGACAAGAAGCCACATCTTTCATAAATATTCTGACACTCTCATCTCATACTACAGTTTTTTGTTTTTTTCAGTCAGAGAATATGACAGCTCTGTTATGTGTGGCCTTGTGTGGACTGCAAATTTTGTAGCATACCGCTGCCGCACTTGTGGTATTTCACCTTGCATGTCCATCTGTTCTGATTGCTTCCATGCTGGCAACCACGAGGGTCACGACTACAATATGTTTCGTAGCCAAGCGGGGGGTGCTTGTGATTGTGGAGATGCTAGTGTTATGAGGCCTGAAGGGTAGGTTAATATTATCTTTACTGTGAACAATATTTGGTAACTATTATCATCACATTGTTTGGTTGTATATCCTCTATGTTTTTTAAGGTTGTATTTTAAAATCTTGAACAGTAAGAGTAAAGCCCCACTGCATGGTATTTAGCGCAGATTCCCAAATGTTTGTTATTAAACATTGTCAGTTACTTCTGCTGAACATTTTATTATTTAGGTGTTTATTTGAGAAGTTCATTGTATTACTCCATTTATTAATTATAGTCATAAAAACTTCATTTTTGTGGATATACTTTAAAAAAAAATTGTTTCTGTTCTCATTATCAGTTATTTACAGGTAAGCAAAAATATTTGTTTTTATCCAATGTCTCCAACTTTAATGTGGAATCAGTGTGTGAGGGTTGTTTTAATACAGAAAAATCTTTTTGAATGGCACACATTTTAAGTAAAAAATTCAAACTCTTTATACAGATCTAAGCATATCTAATAAAACAAATTGATTTTTTTTAAGACTTAAAATTTCTTCTCAGTTAAAAGCCAAAAAGATTATGTTAAAAGAGTATTATATTGTCAAATGAAATATTTGTCAATCCATGACAAAAATTAGTATTTTATTTGCCTTGAAGAAAAAAAATTGTTAGTAATTTAAGTTAACTTTTGACATTTTTTAAACCCAATTTTCAAATAACTGTAACACATCTTAACTCCTGACCATTGGTTTATTCGTTCCTTTCAAGTGGTTTAAAAAAAATAACAGTTTTCTAGGATACAGAAATCAGTTGAAATGGCAGATTATTACTTGAGTTGGATCTCAGTAAATCTAATTATCTATTAATAATAGTTTTATTTTGATTAAGGTAAAGAAGTTGCATAGCACTAATAATTACCTTTCCTAAATACTAACTATCATGGCTGTTGGGTCATAAAGTAGTTTGATTTTTAAAGGTATATTTTTCAAGAGCCAAAATATTATAGTTTAAAATTATTTTAAAAATGTATCCTTCTATGAATTATTGGTATCATTTTTATAGTGTTATGTTGATCACAATAAACAAACAACTTTGATTCTCATCATTTTAAGCTCAGTCACATTTTGTTTCTGTAAAAAATGTATAAAAATATCTCTTTTGATTTAAACTGTAGGTTTTGTCCACGTCATGGTGAGCATAGAGACAGCAAATCTGACCCGGAGGCTCCAACAGAGCTAATGGCAGTGGCTAGAGAAATGGTGCCACAACTCTTTTTGAGATTACTATATCATTTGCGAGAACAGTTCAACTCTCAGGGTATGCTTTGTTTGTTGTATCATTTAAGAGAACAGTTCAACTCTCAGGGTATGCTTTGTTGTATCATTTGAGAGAACAGTTCATCAGTTCAAATCTGTTGATTTATATCAGGGCTGCCTACTTGTACAATTTACTTTGAATATTTAGACACCCAAATTAAATTGTTACTCGTGAGTAAAATTCTGACCTTTTAAAATTTGTGTATAAAAATGTCTAAAATCTAGTCTTGACAAAATCTAGTCTTGACAAAATCTAGTCTTGACAAAATCTAGTCTTGACAAAATCTAGTCTTGACAAAATCTAGTCTTGACAAAATCTAGTCTTGACAAATTCTAGTCTTGACAAAATCTAGTCTTGACAAATTCTAGTCTTGACAAAACCATTTTTAAAGCAATAAATCATGGAATATAATATTAAATAAGGACATAAAATTATCACAGATAAATTCATATCTAATTCATGTAGTTTTAAATAATTATATTCCAAGATTTTAACTAGCTGAATGTGAAACATTAAATAAGGACATAAAATTATCACAGATAAATTCATATCTAATTCGTGTAGTTTTAAATAGTTTCACATTCAGCTAGTTAAAATTAAGCATATTGTTTGTTACAGATAGTACAGGTAAAAGTTCCTTTCAACTCAACATAATGGATCTGGATCACTTTCTGAGTTTTATGCAATCATTGAGTGACATGGGGGCAGCCATGAGGCAAGTTATGGCACAGGCATTAACAAACGAAGAGCATTATTTAAAATCTACAGGTACAGTTTTCTTTTTCTTTGTCAACATATCACATTATTTTTTTTCTAAATCTTGTAGTATTTTTGTATTGATAAAAAATAAAATACATCTGTTTAATTTGTACAAATATCTTTCAGAAATACTCTCAATAATTGTTTGGATGTCTAAAATATTGTTTTCATTTATATTTTTGTTCAGTCCAAGTTGATCCACCTACAGACAGCAGGAACCTAAACTATGCAGTATTTAAAAAACATCTTGCTAACTTGCGATACCCAGTCAACTTTGATAGATACAAATGTAAGTTTTTTAAAGTTTTTTCAATAAGAATTTACCTTAGTCTACTTTAATTCACTAGTTATAATGAACTTTAATAGAAATATCATTTACTATGCTAAAATACCCCTGAACACAATAAACAGTTTTAAGTAGAGTAGCTGAAATATTGTACAATTGCAATGATTCCTCAGCAAAGCCAGGCATGTCTCAGAAGTTAGAGTACACCACAATCATTGAAGAACTGGTGTTTTGGGTGATGAGGTTTGAATTTCCCCAGCGATTAGTTACCTTTTTACTTGGTCTGTTACCTGATGACTTGTACAAGGTGAGATTACATTTCTGTTCAGCTTCTGTACACCGCTAGGGCAGACAACTTTAGAGTACAGTATTTAGAGTAGCATTTTCCTACCCTCATGCAGTTTTACACTTTGGCACATCATGTTTGACTATAAATAATATTGTAACATATGATGTTATAAGTGCCGTTAGTAAAGTTACCCTTTCAGACTTGGCCTGTCGGGCAGATGAAGTAGAGTTTACCTGTCTTTGTGACCACTGCATGTAAGGGGATAGTGTCCATTCCCCTTTACCTAACATAAATCAAAATACCCATCAAAGCTGGGTGGACTCAGGAACGTTCTGTTAACTTGAGTTTAGGATCCAAACTGGGGGCTTTTAGTTCAGTAATCATGCTCTACAGCCTGGCCACGACATCCCATGATACATGATCTTTTCCTGTTTGTGTCTTTGACACATGGGGTAGATGAAGTAGAGTTCATCTGTTTCAATGACCTGTGCATACAAGGGGATAGTGTGGTCAGCACTATGCCCAGTTGCCTTTGTTTCCCTAATGTAAGTCATGTACGGATCCAAGTTGGATGAACTCAGGGACATCTTACAGACTCGAGCCTGGGATCTGAACTCAAGGCTTTCGGGTTAGCATTCTAACACTCTACCGCTATGCAAAGTCTTCCCATTCCATGTTATAAAAATGACAAAAATTGTTGAAGTCCTATTTTATAAAATCAAGCAGATTGTGATATGTATTGACTAACATAACCAAACCATTTCATGTGATGCAGGAATCTTTTGCCAAGGCGTTTGTGAAGCATTACTCCCGCATATCTGTGGTGCTGAGTGAGGCTACTGACAGGTCCACAGTGGCCAACAGGATAGTTCACATCAGTGTTCAGCTCTTCAGCAATGAGCAGCTGGCTGTGTACCTCACTGAAAACCATAACCTTCTTCTCACCATCATTCTCTCCCTTGCCAACATGATACAGGGTATACGGGTGGTCAGTGCCCTTGAAGGTCAGTTCTCACTTAATTAACACAACATGATAGAGTAGATGGGTGGTCAGTGCCCTTGAAGGTCAGTTCTCACTTAATTAACACAACACGATAGAGTAGATGGGTGGTCAGTGCCCTTGAAGGTCAGTTCTCACTTAATTAACACATTATAGAGTAGATGGGTGGTCAGTGTCCTTGAAGGTCAGTTCTCACTTAATTAACACAACGAGTAGATGGGTGGTCAGTGCCCTTGAAGGTCAGTTCTCACTTAACACAACATGATAGAGTAGGTAGGTTGTCAGTGCCCTTGAAGGTCAGTTCTCACTTAACACAACATGATAGAGTAGATGGGTGGTCAGTGCCCTTGAAGGTCAGTTCTCACTTAACACAACATGATAGAGTAGATGGGTGGTCAGTGCCCTTGAAGGTCAGTTCTCACTTAATTAACACAACACGATAGAGTAGGTGGGTGGTCAGTGCCCTTGAAGGTCAGTTCTCACTTAACACAACATGATAGAGTAGATGGGTGGTCAGTGCCCTTGAAGGTCAGTTCTCACTTAACACAACATGATAGAGTAGATGGGTGGTCAGTGCCCTTGAAGGTCAGTTCTCACTTAATTAACACAACACGATAGAGTAGGTGGGTGGTCAGTGCCCTTGAAGGTCAGTTCTCACTTAATTAACACAACATGATAGACTAGATGGGTTGTCCGTGCCCTTGAAAGTCAGTTCTCAACACAACATGATAGAGTAGATGGGGGTCAGTGTCCTAGAAGGTCAGTTCTCACTAAACACAACATGATAGAGTAGATGGGGGTCAGTGCCCTAGAAGGTCAGTTCTCACTTAACACAACATGATAAAGTAGGTAGGTTGTCAGTGCCCTTGAAGGTCAGTTCTCACTTAACACAACATGATAGAGTAGATGGGTTGTCAGTGCCCTTGAAGGTCAGTTCTCACTTAACACAACATGATAGAGTAGGTAGGTTGTCAGTGCCCTTGAAGGTCAGTTCTCACTTAACACAACATGATAGAGTAGATGGGTTGTCAGTGCCCTTGAAGGTCAGTTCTCACTTAACACAACATGATAGACTAGATGGGTTGTCAGTGCCCTTGATATTGAGTTATTTAATTAGGTGGTCTTTAATTTCCCTTAAAATTAAATAAATTGTTTTTCTATCAACATATAATTTTTTTTGTCTAGATCCTGACCTGAAGTCAAGATTTCATTGTGTGGTCAACTGTGAGCATGAAATCATGAAAGACCACTGCTACTGGCCAGTAGTAAGTGACCTGATCAATGTGCTCTCACACCGCAGGATTGCCCACAAGTTTCTTGGTGATCCACAGCTAGTTGAGCTTTGGCTAGATCTTCTAAATGATATGCAAGGTAATTTCTAGTCAGATATTTTAGGTCATATTAAGCTTCATTCACATTTCTAGCATACTAAAACTTGTCCTGTTTTATCCAGGAATGAACTTGAACACCCGTGAGTTAAGTCAACATGTTGAGTTTGAGCCTGACACATATTATGCAGCTTTTTCTGCAGAGCTTGAGATCTCAGCCTCACCAATGTGGTCTCTTCTTATGCACTGTCAAACACCAGTAAGTTGCTTGCTATTACAGCCCCTGTCAGACACCAGTAAGTTGCTTGCTATTACAGCCCCTGTCAAACACCAGTAAGTTGCTTGCTATTACAGCCTCAGTCAGACTAGTACTAGAAAGTTGCTTCCTATTACAGCCTCAGTCAGACTAGTACTAGAAAGTTGCTTGCTATTACAGCCTCAGTTAGACTAGTAAGTTGCTTGCTATTACAGCCTCAGTCAGACCAGAAAGTTGCTTGATATTAAAGTCGATGTCACATTTTGTTCATATAGCTTCTAATTTATTATTTTCTTTAACACTGTATAATCAATTTTTTTCTATTTCCTGTGTTTAGGAAACAAAAGATTTTGTTTTGGACATGATCAAATCTGCATCAGTTGCTCTGGAAGACTGGTTTGATGCTATCAATTTTAAAGATACAATGAAGGTAAACTAGAGTATCATATGGATTTCTTATGAAATTGTTTGAGTCCAAACTGTAATTTTTATTTTGTCAAATTTCTTTTTTAGATAGAATGTTAGTTACAATACAAACAAGTGTGAGAATAAGATTCCATTGCAGCTTGTTTCATTGTGAACTTTCAAAATCTTTTCACATTAATCCACTTTAAGTCCATTCACACACATGGGTGCAGAGATTTGCAATGGTTAACCATGATGTTTGCCCACTATAGGTTGATTATTTTCACTTTGTGACATCTTTTCACAAACTAGATAAAGTACTAACTAAAGTTCCTTTATTTATAAAGTATGTATTTTAGCTCAGCAATGCTAACAGTAACTGAAACAAGATAAAGCAGTTTATTAACACTTACTGGGGATTGAGTGTGTATGCCCAATCCAAACCTTCATTCTCTCATTGTGGATACATTTATTTTCAGCCTAATCCTTACTGTCATGCCATAGTCTAATGGAGATACATTTATTTTTTAGTCCTATTCTCACCTACTGTTTATTTTCTAATTAAAATAAATTTATTTTTCAGCCCAATCCTTATCAGCTGACATTCCACCTTCCACTGCACAGATATCTGGCAACTTTCATTATGACAGCTGTCAAATATCACAATTGTGACTTGCAGTCCATTCTCCCAAGTGACTCACTGTTAAAGAAAGTTATGATGCACACTTTACAAGTTCAGGTTCGTTCACACTTATTCTAGACTCACAACTCTGCTCAGTGGAAAATACATTTCTTAGTTAAACTTTGGCGGAAATATATTTTGATAACTAAACTATGGTTATTTTTAGCCTCATAATGTCTAGCTATTTTAATTTCAGCTTTTAAAAAAAAATGTTTCTTATTCGTAGTACGGTTAGTTTAGATTCTGTTTAGATTAATATATATATATACCATATATTTTATAGGTTTGCTTAGCCCAAATATATACTGGAATGTGGGTGAGGAATGGTATACAGATCAAGGGTCAAGCTATGACCTACATACAATGCCATTTTTGTTACTCCATGGCAGATGCAGATCTGTATCTTCTACAGGTACTACTTTTTAAATTATTTTATGTTAAGGTTTTACATGTTTTCTCACATTGTGTGCCTTTTTACAAGCTTTTAGTTCAATTGATTACTCTGTCCTGCTTTGTCATGGTTGGAAACTTGTGAAACAAATTTCACTTGGTTTAACTAATTGTGCTTCAAATTTGAAACATGTTAAGCACTTATTACAGTACAATGTGGCATGAACTTTAACTTAATTCTTAGATCAAAATTAATTTACAAAATTTAATTGATGATATCTGTATAAAGTACTTATAGTATTGCATGATACACACCTATTCTGTGTATTAACTGGTGGCATGTTTTTTAGTCATGAGATTTTCTTAATACTAAAATGTAAAAAAAAGTATATAAAAATTGTTATCTGACACATTTTTTTCCATATCATTTGTCCTGAGATATCATGTCTGGGATATTTGGTCTGAGATCACTAGTCCCACCACCTAATAAAAACAAACATTTTCTATGTAATAGAAATAGTGGTGATTTATTATATTTTTTTACATTTATTTTTTCAAACAATTTTAAAATTTTAGGCCAAGGTTGTACATTTTGTAAATTGTTTGTGTTTGTCAAAATTTTGGTGAGCAAAATACATCATCTCTCTTTTCAGTTATGTGCTACAAAATTGGATCCTGATTGTTTTATCTTCACAGTACTAGAAAGGTATTTATTGATGGTTTTTGAAAAACTTTTGTGCTTTTATTAAATAACAGATATTAGGCAGTCTGATTTTTGTGGAATAATATATTTTTTTACTTGTAAAATCTGCATCCATTTAAATTTTTGCTTTTTTACTTGTTAATTTTTATTCAACTGCTATAGCCTATATGTGTAAGTTTGACATCTCTTGTGTGTAATTCCAACAGGTTTCACATCTTGAACTGGCTGTCCTACTCTCCAGACCCCATCCATTTAGGAATATCTTTGGAACCAGATCAGGAGTTGGCCATGGTGGAAGGAGCACTAAGTCTACTCTCTGCTCTTATGGGAATGCATACATATCTAGGTCTGGATGCTTTTCTAACGTATCTTTTTAGCAATTAATACAATTTTATGCTAATTATTGCAGCTACTTAGAATATGCTGCTATGTTTCAACCAGTTTTTACATAAAATCCAATATTTTAAAAAAAAAAGTTTATGAATGAAGCAATAAGCATGAATTAGTTGAGAATGAGAGAGCCAAATTTGTAAGCTGATTAGATTTATAGTGTGTATAAAATGCTACACAGGTATCAGCGATGAAGAACTGATAAGGAAAGAAATGGCCTCTCTGTTGTGTATGAATGACAGACAACACAGTAATCTAATGGACTTGATGCCAGAAAAGACAGGGGTGAATGGGCTTGCTAAAGAACTCTTTGAGCCAACACTGCAAAAGGTACACAGATTAAAAAACTCAGTTTTTTTAGTAGTCTTGTAAGAGCTGTATTTCCTGATCATTTAAAAAAAAAAACTTAACAAGAAATATGAATGTATATATAGATCTATATCTAATTGATTAATTGTGATTTTTTTGACTGAATGAAAAGGTGTTTCTACATTTCCTTGAGTTGGGTGAGTACATTAAAAACACTGTTATCTATTCCAGCTTGCAGATTATAAAGCACCCAACTTTGAAGCAGGCGGAGGCCTCCAGCAGGGAACTTATGTTCCTAAAGGTTAGTTTATGGAGCATTATCATGGCTGTTTTGATGAGTGAATGCAACTGAATGTCAATTTTCCATCAGCCATAACCTCATGTATGTTGTTTCCTTGATATCACTCCAGCTGAAGTTTGGGAAAAAGATTTTGATCCAGTTCATGTATCACAGAGAGCAATATACAGGAGGGACATGCAGTCAGCGATGGATCGTTACACTGAATAGTAAATGTTGCTTTTCTTGTGGTTTCATATCGTTCAAAGATTTTCTTTCCCTAAATGCTGATAAGTAAATGTTGCTTTGGTTATGAATACTGTGTTTTTAACTCAAAGATTTTCTTTCTCTAAATGCTGATTAGTAAATATTACTTTGGTTATGAATACAGTGTTTTTAACTCAGATTTTCTCTCAGTCTGACACATATTTTGTTCCTCCCAGCTTACGTACACATAAAAACTACAAGAAAAAGACAACTCCATGGCCACCTTTCAAGATGGACGCCAATATTCACCACGAGTACACAGGCATTTATAGACTGCTCAACTGTAAAGCAATGCATGCTTTCTTGTTCACAGTTCTACACAAGGTAGCCTGGACCACACTGTTTTAATCTAGTGTTTAACTAACTCTGAATGAGCTCATCAAAAATGTAATTTAAAATGTTATCCCCTTAATTCATATTTGAAAGGATATGTTTCAGTTATGTTGTTTTATTGACAGGCTCTGAGTCGAGACAAGAACCTGCCTGAAGCCATATTGTTTCACAGCACCCACTTGCTAGAGATGTGCTTACACTACGCTCCCAAAACCTTTCCTAACAGGGTACTTTATTTTAACATGGCTAATTTTGGCTTCTTGTTTTCATTATTTTAAGATTTATACCTCTGACTTGTATACGTATATGTTTAGTGATTGACTCTAATACACCTGTGTGTGTACAACAGGTCCCTGGCCTCTCCTTACACGTCCAGGATGGACAGTTAGACAGGTGGTATGGGACCTCAGATATCAAGGCCAATGCTTGTGACATCATCAGTGAGGTCATTGTGCCAGTTCCAGTGACAGAAGAAGAGGTTCGAGCCAGTGGCTCAGCAGATGATGACATGGACACATCCACGCTGGAAGAAATGTTCCAGCTCCAGCCCTCAGCTATTTCTGGTACTTTGCTTGTTTGTATTTTTTTAACCTGAGAACTAGATTATAATAATTTCACCTGAGAATTCTAGATTTAAAATAAATTTACCTGAGAACTAGATTTAAAATAATTTCACCTGAGAATTTTAGATTTAAAACAAATTTACCTGAGAACTAGATTTAAAATAATTTCACCTGAGAATTTTAGATTTAAAACAAATTTACCTGAGAACTAGATTTAAAATAATTTCACCTGAGAATTTTAGATTTAAAACAAATTTACCTGAGAACTAGATTTAAAATAATTTCACCTGAGAATTTTAGATTTAAAACAAATTTACCTGAGAACTAGATTTAAAATAATTTCACCTGAGAATTTTAGATTTAAAACAAATTTACCTGAGAACTAGATTTAAAATAATTTCACCTGAGAATTTTAGATTTAAAACAAATTTCACCTGAGAATTCTAGATGTAAAAAAAAAAAATTCCTGAGAATTCTAGATTTAAAATTTTAGATTTAAAACAAATTTACCTGAGAACTAGATTTAAAATAATTTCACCTGAGAATTTTAGATTTAAAACAAATTTCACCTGAGAATTTTAGATTTAAAACAAATTTACCTGAGAACTAGATTTAAAATAATTTCCCCTAAGAATTCTAGATGTAAAAAAAAAAAATTCCTGAGAATTCTAGATTTAAAATTTTCCAGGAAATTCTAGATTTAAAACAAAATTTCCAGGAAATTCTAGATTTAAAACAAATTTTCCAGGAAATTCTGGATTTAAAACAAATTTTCCTCAAAATTCTAGTTATACATACAACGTTTATGAAATGTGTCATTATAAAATATTATGATAAACAAGCTAAAAATGTACCTTGTTTTCTCCCGGCCCAATCATCTTATCATGTTGTTTTAAGTGCACTGGGCTATTCAAATGTTGTGTTACTTCTTTGATAAAATTAACTTTTTTTTTAAAATTTTGTGTCTTGTAACAAAGAAATTTATCCCCAGCATCCAGTGGCCCTGTGACCTCCGCCCAGTTAGGACAGATTCCATCCCTTGCGATGGTCTCTCTACCATCCGTTGCTACAGGACTGGGGTCAGGGCCAGAGTCTGAGTTTGCTCTAGGGATAGCAATACCCCACCCACCACCCAACCCCCCCAAACCACTAGTGAAAAGATATGAGAGTAGGGGCGTGGCCACAGCTCAGTTCATCACCAAGAGGATAACCATTAAAGAAAGTCTGATCTCTGTGTTGATTAAACTTCACACCAAGATGGGTGGGGCAGCCAGGTAAATTGCCACATTTAAACATTATTTTAAAACAATTATTTATCTACTCTAGTTTGTATGATTGGTTAAATAAGATACAAATCTCATGCTGATGAATGGATCAGCCAAGTGATGTAACAAGAGTACTCTGTGAGTCAGTCCAAACTAGATGATATAACAATTTTGGACTTAGAATTACATTTTGAAATTTTTTAAACATTAAATGATTTGTTTTTCCCACCAGCTACAAGCCAAAAACCCAGTCCCCATCTGTATCCTCAAGTGTTGTAGAAGGGGGTGATGGGCAGGTGTACATAGAGCGCTTCCTGGACCATCTATATACAGCCAGCACTAATGCTTCCAGAGTCATTGACGATACTTGCCGCTCTCTCAATATGACAAAGGTCAAGGCTGGACCATCCGAGACTGAAAAAGATAGCAAGTATGGATGTGTTCTAGTATCACTAAACTTACATTCATAGTTTTTAATGACACAGTTACATTTTTTTAAAATGACAGCTACTATCTGTGAGTACTTTTTTTGTGACAGGAGAAGAAAGGCTTGGAATAGACAACAAAAGCTAATGGCAGAGTTTGCATCAAAACAAAAAGCTTTTATGGAGCAAGCCATGGAGGAAGAATCAGGTTAAAGAGCAACAGTTTTTTTTTTTTTATTTTAAAATTTTATATATCATTTACTAGTATAGTTTCCAACCAATTTACCTAGAATAATGCACTGGTTAAGTTGTCATCTGGGTGCCGTCTATTGATATTGGTGTTTCTTGCGTGTTGATAGAGAGAAGTGAGTCCAGTCCATCCTCAGCAAACTTAGAACAAGAGAAAGATTTGAGTGAAGCCAAGCAATACGACTGCGTCATCTGTAGCCAGTCCACCCCTTCAACTGGTGACAGACCCATTGGACTGGTTGTCTTCCTGCAGGCCTCTAGTGGTGTGTACTTTATCCTGTCACACAAGTGTGTAGTGCATTCTGTGTCACACAAGTGTGTACTTCATTCTGTGTCACACAAATGTGTACTTCATTCTGTGTCACACAAGTGTGTACTTCATTCTGTGTCACACAAGTGTGTACTTCATTCTGTGTCACACAAGTGTGTAGTTCATTCTGTATAGCTTTGTATCAGAACACTTGTGTAGTTCATTCTGTCTAGCTTTGTTTCAGCACACTAGTGTAGTTCACTCTGTGTAGCTTTGTGTCAGAACAAAGTAACAACTTCTCTCTTGCAAGTCTCATGTTATTTTACACATCAGATCACTTTCTGGCTTGTGTTAGTTTGTTACCTTGTGTTAAAAAAATATTGGCAAACCATTGTCAAGTATTTTGATAACTAGTGCATTTGTTTCAGTTCTTGGTCATCGCCAACAGAATAATCAGGAAAATTCTTTGAATATCTCTGACTCGTATGTTCAGAAGTTCCGTAAATCCTCCTGTGGAAAAGTTATCAAGAAAAAGCTTGAGATCCTACAGAAAAACTTTGAAGAGGTAAGCTTTATTTTATACCTTCCCATGTAGCATGTCTGTAAAAGCTTGTATTTTGACTGAACACCCCATGAATATTTAAATGACGGAAATAAATTTTCCCAGAAGTCTTGTGAGCTGTCTGTCAACATTGGCTGGGAAGGGGGCGTGGTTGCCCAGACGTGCGGACATTATCTCCACCTTGACTGTCATAAGTCATACCTTGATTCTCTACGGGTAAGTCAAGCATTTGACTTTATTGACGTAATATAACAACCTTACTTGAAAATTTGTTGCAGCTTACTCTTTACTGTATTAAAACTTCCTTCCTCTTTAACAAAGTTATGATTGTTGTATTGTAGTTACCATTTTTATACTGCAACACAACCAGTATTTGATTAGTATCATTATGTTTTACTACTGCAGACACAAAACCACTCAGAGATTCTGGCAGTGAACAAGCGAGAGTACTGGTGCCCCCTGTGTCGCCAGCTGTCCAACTCTGTGATCCCAATGGTGCCAGAAGAAAGCCGCACCATGTTAGTGAAGCCAGTGTCTAGAGACTACAAGCAAATGGTGCTTGATATAGCTGAAATGATGGTCAACAGACGGATAGGCCAGGTTAGACCTACTTCACTTTAGTCAAGCTAAATCATGTATGTAATAAATCAGCTGCTTTACTTGTTTTTATAAGTTTTTATAAGTTTTTATAATGTTTATGTTCCAGGAACACCCAACCCTGACCCGTGCTATGGGAACTGTGATGGAGGATCTCACCAAAATAACTTACCCCAGCTACCTGTCATTCTCTTCTACACGCAACACTGAGACTTTATTGCTTTTTATCTCTTCAGTTGCCAGGTTTTTCCATTCTTCATACATGTCTTTACATTTAAAGAGACAACGTTTTGTTTAATTAAAAGTGAACCTAGCTGGTTAGAACAGAGTAGAGATTTTTAACAAAATGAAAGCATGTAGATCTATAAATACTGTAAACAGTGGCATCAGTTTTAAGATATTAATTTAAAAAGGAGTTTGTAGAAGTTTTTTTTCATGTTGATTTGACTTGTGTATTGTGTTTGATGGCAGGGTAAATCTAGAAATGGAACTCTTACAGAAAGGAGGTAGCCTGTTAGAATCTCAGTCCACTAGTGCAGCCAAAAAACAAAACAGTTTCTGTAAGTAAACATCAGCGCTTTAAAATAGTGCTGGCCACAATTAGTCATTATAGAGTCAAATATTGTATCACTAAGTGTAATAGTCTAATAATCAAGTGTACTGATCCAGTAAAATATTGCATTTACTTTTTATGCTATGTGTCTGTCCATCAAACAAATGTTCTGACTTTTAACGTCCCATGTCAGTGTAATTAATGTAGCCCTTGTAGTTATTGCCCTTGTAATTGTAGCCCTTGTAGTAGCTGTAGCCCTTGTAATTGTAGCCCTTGTAGTTATTGCCCTTGTAATTGTAGCCGTTGTATTTTCCCCCAGTGCCTCTCATCCATGTCCTGAGTCTCCACAGCAAGATTCTAGTTTCCAGCTCCCCATACCCAGACCTGTGGGCCCACATAACTGGCAGGAACCTGTGGGACCAGACCTCCAGGTAAGTTGTTGCATTGTGAAGGGGGGGGGGGGAAGACTTCTGATACATTGTAAAGGTGGAGGAGAAGAGAATTAAGCTGAAATTTCCAGGAGCCATCTCTAAAAAGATTCGACTAAATGTAGCTCATGAGCCTACTTGATCCTTAAGTCCTCAATGTTGATTCTATAATATTTTGCTTTTGTGTTTTCCAATTTCAAATGTTTACTGAGTTTTTGACTCATATTATTGTCAATTTGTCAAATAGAATGTCTACACTACATAAGTAGTCATACCATTGTATTGCCAATTTTTAAAACTTTGAAATCATGAGCTACAATAGAATTTTTGAAAACTAAATTTTAATATACAATTTTCTATCTCTGTTTATTTCAGACTACTGTGTCTAATTTCCTTTTTGTTCTGTGTTAATTATATCAGTGTTGAATTTTCATATTTATTTTATCAGTGCTGTGTAAATTTCTGCATTTCTTTTATCAGTTTTGTTTTAATTTTGTTGTGTTTCTGCCTTCAGTAGTGTGTCAGTGTATGAGAGACAAGTCCCTGTTCTACTGAAAGATCCTCTCAGCCTCCTCATACAATTTGTGCTTACATTATCTTTTGCCATAGAGTCTGGTAAGTTTTTAAAATTAGAAAATTCTTGATGAGGTCTAAACGTAAGCCTTTTCTTTTATTCTCTTGATATAATTCTGCAAAAAAAACCACAGAAATACCTTTCTTACACCCTTATTCAGCCCCTTTTTTCCAATCTATAATTATCCCCAAGGAAAAAGAAAATTTTCAAAAAAAATCTAGAAGGAAAATGTTAAATGTAACAACAAAAGGGATTTTATATTGCTTATATTATTATTTTAAATCTATTTTTGTAACAGTGAGCATAGAAACAAGTATGGTAATGCTAAACATACTAGCAATGTGTGACAAACGCATGCCATTGTATTCAGATATTTTAGATTTCTATTCAAAACATTGATTGTGTATGTAGACTGGTGTTGATAAAAGTTGATCAACAGTCCATACATGTCCCACATTTCTCCACAGAACACCTAGACTTTGTGATACAGATGCTGTACAACCTGGTCTTTATACAAGCTTTGGCTTTTGTCAGCTGCAAGTTTTCCAGTGATGAACGAGATGCATGGCATAGGAAGGGGAGACAGGTGTGTATTGTAAGCCAGGTTTTAACTACCTGTGAGTGAGCCCCTCTCTCCATAATCCTGTCCTGGATGAGCTTATAAAAGTCTTACACTTGTTAAGATTTCAGTTGGAAAGCTTTTAGTTTCTTATCTTTAATACATCAGGAGCTTGCAAGTATTTTAACTTACACAAAAAAATTATTAATAAATGTGAAAGTTATGCCTCAAGAAATAGATTTTAAAATGGTTAATATTTAAAAAACCAGTCAGTATTTTTTCTTAAATGTTAAAACTGTTACAGCTCATGATTTTTTTAAAATGTTAAAACTTACAGCTCATGATAAAAAGTTTAATTATTTAACCCAGAGCCAGACTGCCACCATTGAGGGACTCCTAGGTCATGTGATCAGTGGACTGTCTCGCAGTACTCTGTATGAGGAGATTGACAACTCTCATATGCTGCCTGCTGTAAGTTCTTACATGACAACTGCTACACGCTGCCAGCTGTTATTTCATGACACTCCTCTGTTAAACACTTTTTCCACATTGCCATGTTCACCTATGCACTAATATTGTAATAGTACTATTGTTAGATAAAGTCATTTTTAGACTGCTGTGCTTGCAATAGAACATCTTTATTATTCTTGTTTACTTTCATTCTAAATGCAAACAAAACACCACTTGCGATAAGAAATAATTAATTTTAAGTAAAAATGTCAGTGTATTTATTGTATTTTTGAATGGAGTAATCCATCGGTCAATTATTATTTTGAATAAACAGACTGAAGTATTTTGTGTAACGTCCTCAGATATGTCAGAATGTCTGGTCACCACAGAGCGTCCAGCAGATGGTTGAAGAATACTGTTTACCTTTCATGCGCATCTCAGCCCTCCTTAAAAGTCATATTTTTAGTATTGAAATTACACCAGCTCAGGTAGGAATTTACTTAAGCTCAGGTAGAAAATTACTTCAGCTCAGGTAGGAAATTACTTCAACAATGGTTGGAAAGTACACCAGCTCAGGTAGGAATTTACTTAAGCTCAGGTAGGAAACTATACCAGCTCAGGTAGGAAATTACACCAGCTCAGGTAGGAAATTATACCAGCTTAGGTAGAAGTTTATACCAGCTCAGGTAAGAATTTACTTAAGCTCAGGTAGGAAATTACTTCAGCTCAGATAGGAAATTACTTCAACTATGGTAGGAAATTACACCAGCTCAGGTAGGAAATTACACTTACCTCAGGTAACAAATTAGGCTTCCTTTGTCATCACAGGTCAATTTTATTTCAATAAACTATTATGCTCCATATTCATTGCAGTAATGCTAATATTTTGTTTATTTTCATAGCCTGGACAAAGTGAGTTTCAACAACTGTCCACCTACTTACAACTGTACAACCAGGCAGATGGTCCAGTAGATGGTGTATCTGGCACAGCCTCGAGCCTAGCCTGCTTGAGGTGGGTGGTGGAAGAACCACATGCATTGATCAGGGCCTGGTGTGTTCATGTGACTGACTTTATAAATGCTGCGCCACAAGAGGCTAAGGTATCTCTATCTTTATATTTTCTAGTTTCTGCCTTTTTTCATACAGTTAAATTACTGTAATACCCTTAAGTGTTATATTCAATAAAATGTCATCTGATTGATTGATCGACTGAAAAAATGACAAAAATATCCTCCATCATTCATGATCGGTTTTCAAAATTATTTTTTGGGGAGGTGATTTAGAAAACAAATTTGGCATAAAAATTTTTTAAAAATCTGAGCATATCTGTTAATTATATTTTTGGTGTATTCTGAGGTGGACCATTGGTTTGATACTTTTTATTACAGATTTTATTGTTTTTTTATCTATAAAATTTGGTTATTGTTTTTACCAAAATCTTTGGTTGTTTAATTCATTTTTTCTTTGTTAAAATTTAATTTCAACCAGACATTTAAAAAAAAAAAACTTTTAAAAGTTTAGGCTCTCATTGTTTTTTCTACCAACCAGACACTTTTCCAAATAAATCCCAACTGGCAAAAGCCTGGCCTGATCAAGCTGCCTGAGAGCTACTACCAGATCTTTCAGATGTTCAGGACTGCCAAGTGCAATGAATGCAACCAAGTCCCTAAGGATCCAGCCATCTGTCTTGTTTGTGGACAATTTTTGTGTTTTAGGGAAGGATGCTGTGTCACAGAAAGTGTTTACGAGAGTGTTGCAGTAAGTCAGCATTAGCTATATGTCAGCATTACTTCTGAGGGTAGTAAGAAGTTGTTTTATATGTCAGCATAACTTCTGAGGGTAGTAAGAAGTTGTTTTGTATGGTCAGCATAACTTCTGAGTGTAGTAAGAAGTTGTTTTATAAGTCTAGATAACTTGAATTATTTACTTTGAGTTGACCATAGGTTTCTATCCTTTAAACTGAAATTTCACTTAGAAGAGTTAAGTCTTAAATTTTTTTAACGATCTTTACCATCTTACTTCATGGTAATGCTCAAACCAAATAATATCTATTTTGATTGATTGGCAAACCTAAATTATCATAAATTTAGTTACTGCATATGGCCTAATTAGAACTTGTTTTGTCCAGCATTCAGTCCAGTGTGGTGCTGGTACAAGCATGTACTTGTTGGTCAACTCCAGTCTGGTTGTTGTCATCAGAGGAGCCAGGGCCACACTGTGGGGCTCTGTCTACCTGGATGAACACGGAGAGGAGGACAGAGACCTTAAGTAAGATTACTTTCATCTTAAGTAAGATTATCTCACCCAAACTAAGATTACTTTCATCTTAAGTAAGATTATCTCACCTCAAGTAAGATTACTTTCATCTTAAGTAAGATTATATCACCTCAAGTAAGCTTACTTTCATCTTAAGTAAGATCACTCTCATCTAATGATTATCTCACCTAAAGTAGAATACTCCCATCAAAAGTAAGCATCTAAAGTAAGATTACTCACATCTACAGTAAGATCGCTCCTACCTAAATTTTTAGTTCTTTTTTTCTCATTAATACATTTGTCAACCCAACATTGGCTTTAAAAAAATTCATAGTTTTTGTCTCCACCAATATCTTTTAGTTGTTTTCTATTGCAGTATAGATAGTAGTTAGATCCTTTTTTTATTACATCTTATCTAAAGAAATGTTTTGTTCAGACAAAATGAAACTTGTGTACTTTCTATGTTAACACTTTATGACAATATTTTCTTTCAGGCGAGGCAAACCTCTGTACTTAAGCATGGCGCGGTACAATCTTCTGGAAAGCCAATGGTTATCTCACAGCTTTGACCATGCCTGCAAACGTTGGATCTGGCACAAAGATCAGCTGTAGGGGCCTGACCCCCAGCCTCAGGAAGTGACCCCCCTCCCCCTGTATCATATACAAGTCTTTCATTTGTTCACATTCTGCTGCTTGTTTTACCTCAGTTCCTCTCATAGACATTTTTTTTTAACACTCACATGGTAATACTGGCCTCATCCAGTTTTAAACTGCTGGAGACTACTCTTCAGTTTCTCATCTGTACAGTTGTTTTATCACTCACCTTAGGAATACTGGCTTTGTCCAGTTTTGTTAATAACATAGCCTTTAAAACCTAAAATATAACTATAAAAATATATCAGTCTATAAATACTAAATATGGTCATGGTCATATATTTGGCTACAACATAGGAATCAATAGAATTGTGTCAAATTATAGAAGTATGCCTGGTGTTCATGTGATTTTATCCTCATTAAGGTTTCTATTTTAATTATTTTGTGCAGGTTATCAATATTTTTAATAATAAATATACATCCTGACATTTTCTGTTTTCCAACAAAATTGGAGAACTGAATTTATATTTTTTGTAAAAATGCTAAAATTTTACAGAATTCTAACCAAATAAAATGATATATATTAACGAAGAAATGTGTCAAATCTAACTTTTTGTACATAAAACCTAAAATAATCCTGTGATAAGTCTGCCCAAGTCTGTATGCAGCTGATTGTTTAAAGTAGTGCAAATAAACAATGCTTTACAAGTTTCAATGGGCGTGTCTACTTGTACTTCCTTTTTTGTTCTAATTGTATTCATACACTTTTTTTATTCAACTATTTTATTGTTGCATTTGCATTTTTAAATTTTTTCTTGTTAAAACAAATTATGACTTATGAATATTAATGAATTTAATTCAGTAAATTTGGTTCTTGCTAATGGTGCAGTTGAGAGTTCTAAATTGTTTATTGAGTGTCTATGCTAGTAGCTAGCATATAAATAACATATTGAAGGCAGACAGCCATATTTTACTAATAGGTCCATATAATTCTGTTATTTATTGAAACATGGAGCTGTAGATTTTTATTGTATGCACCTTGTTTCAATTCATCATACAAGTAAGCTACCTGCTTGTGAAGTTGCACAGAAAAACAGCAGATCAGCTATCTCTTGCTGCAAAATTTGCTGTGACCCCATGATTGATCCTACAATGGTTGTTGATGTTTCACAGATTGATGCTTGCTTGATGTGATTTAGGTTAGTTTGATTTGCTGAGATTAAAGTTGGCATAATTTTATTGTTTTTTCAGTACAATCTTCTACTCACATTAACAATTTGTTAAGATTTTACTCCATCACATAAGACTGTTGCATTGTTTATAGTACTATTTATTTTGTATACAAATGATTCAGTAAAATAGATTACTGTACTTATTTAGACACTGACTGCGCTTTATTTGAAGATAAAGTTTTTCTTCAATGTGACAATTTGTTTTGGTGTGTAGTACTTTAGGGCAAACATGTTCTTGTGGGTGAGGTAAACAGGTCCTGGCAAAAGGGAAATAAACTATCCTGTTTTCCTTTCTTATTGTGTGATTTATTCTGATTAAAAACATGTGACTTCCTCAAACTGGTTTCATTGTTTTTTTTTTAATACCAATGTTTTTAGAACTGGATTTCTGGGACTGATATGTTGTTGTGTAGGATTAATTTTCAAGGATGTGAACATTGGTTATTTTGCTCCTAGATTAACATAATTGTCTCCTGAAGGTATTTACCTGGTGTGTGTGGTGGCTGAACATGTTGATGTATATCAAACTCTGTTATATATGGAGGCCATAATCAAGTGCAGTGAAAACATACAGAAGTATTTTTTTAAATGTGCAATTTATCAAATGTTAAAATAAACAATTTTTTTTTTTAGTGCATTCCATGTTGGTTTCCAAAAAATCGAGGGTTTGTTCTGTTTTCATTAGAATACGATTGTACAAAAGTAAATGCTTTTGTAACACTAAGGGATTGGGGGGGGGGGGGTGAAATTGCTCCTTACAGCTCTTACTACATGATAATCTAATATTAAGTGAAGGACAGATAAAATAATCACTCGCAATTACCGATTAGAAATCACAATTAAGAGAAAATAAAACAATTCAAATATCTGAGCTCTCCCCCTCCCCTCCCCCCATCGGAGAAAAATTTAACAATGTATGCCAGCAAAACCTGGAAAATATATGAACAAACTCAAGATAAGAATTGGTGGAGAATTCCAACCAACCATGAGATCTATAAAAAGTACAAGACACTACAAGTACAATAGTGGCAGAAATAAAATAAATAAGGGCAGATACCAATGGTTAGGTCATCTAGAAAAACGACAGAGCAATAGGGCTGGTAAGTAGGTCACCAACCAGTTCTACGGCTCAATAAAACCTGCATGAGCCATAGAACTGGTTGGTGACCTACTTACCAGCCATATAGACTCTATAACACAAACTCCAAAGGGAAAAGACTAAAAGGCAGGATTATGCTGAGGGGGATTGATGACAAGGAGACAGACCTAAGGCAGCTTGGAGTCAAGGCTTGGAAAAAGAAGAGAGTGGACAAGTCTGAGTGGACAAAGATGGTGAAGCAGGCCTTACCCTCCCTGGACTAGACAGCCTCATTGATAGATTCTAGATGGAAATAAACTTTCACAGCTACGTAGTCCTTTTGTTGCTGCTGATTGGTCTCCTTCAGGGGTCTCCAAACTTTTCAGTCAGAGGGCCGCATTAAATATCAAATTTCAGTTCGGGGGCCAGTTACTTCCAGGCATGTCTTTGATTTCTCTGGGCAAAGTTCCTAAGCCATCATCAACAAACGTTTTTTTCCGTGGACAAAAAGATTTCCGTGGGCCGGATGAAAGGACATCGCGGGCCGCATCCGGCCCGCGGGCCGTAGTTTGGAGACCCCTGGTCTACTTATAAAGTTGAGTCATATGAAACTTTTAATTATTATTTACTACATATCCTAATAATAAATTTAGTGTGATCCTGAAGTTAAGTGCACAATTTTTTTCTTTACTTTAGATAAATATAAATTGTACTTAAATAATGTAAAATTAACTATTTTAACACAAACAGAGACGCCTTTAGAGAGTGCATATTTTCATTGCAAATTTTATTGTGCTTTATTTTTAAAATTCGTACTTTACATGTCTTCTGTGTGGAAAAAGTCTATTTAATGTAAATATTGAAAATCCTACGTTTAATGCTTGGACAGTGGCGTGCCAAAGGGAGCGCCAAAAGAGGAAAAAAATTAAGAGCTTATCATAAGCTGGAGTATTGAATTATATGTAGTCAAAGTGGGACACCAAAGCAAAAACTAAAGACTGGTAAAAAGCTTCTGTGACCTTATGAATGCCACTTAGCATGTGCCTTATCTTGTGGCAGAAACATACACATGACCAGTGCTGCCACGCTTGTCAAGGAAATAGAAAAGAAGACCCAGAACCAGCCGAACTTGAGGAGAATCAGCTGCATCAAGAATGGCGTCAGTAACAGAATGACGCTGCCCATGAGCAGGACTAGACCAAAGTTGACCACATAATCTTCAGGACCAAAAACTCGAAGAGTTATTAATGGAAATAATATCAGAGTTCCACTCTGAATCGATTGAATGAGAATGTAGGTAAAAAAGTACAACCACTTGTCGATTGTGGGAGTAAAATACCAGAACACCACTACAATAGCTTGAGAGGCAGTGACAAAGATGGTCACGGAGTTGTAGCTAAACTTCTCTAGCACGTAACTAAACACACAGATGCGACACACCGTTACAACAACGCTTACAGCGACACCTAAGTTTGTAAGGAAGTAGTCGTCTGGTATGTATAAAAATCCAAACTGTTTATAATAGTTGCTTTCTGTGAGAAAAGCACCTATCATCAAAGTTGTGGAAAATGTGATTAGGTAAAAATTAACAGATTTCAGAGTCTTCCATGGAAATATGTGAGGTTCTTGTTTTACCTGAAGCAGATCACTACCCTGCTGGTCTGGCTTGCTTTGGTCCTGTGATATAGACGAGTAGTTGCTCAAATTTACTTCACATGTCGTCTTCTCGTCCAGATTTGCTTCCTTTAGTTTGGCTGTTGTTGTGTTGGGAGAGACTGGGTTTCTTAGCAACAACAACGATATGACGTGGAAAGCTGAAGACAAGCCCCCGATGACTAAAAAAACATAAGGCACCCTCTCAATGATGTAATCCTGATTAAAGTAATGGCTCTGTCCCAGACTCAAGTTCGGTTCATCGTTCTCCGGATTGATGTATAAAGTTATGACTTGGTTGAATATGATGCTGCCACCGCCGAATGCGGCGAGAACTATAGAACTGACAAGTGCCACTTTCTTTGGTACCCAAATCACTGGGAAGTAGAGTATCATAGAGTAGCAGGCTCCGGTACTTAGTCCACTGAGAACACCCAGCGTCACGTGCAGCAGCCAGAAACTGTGCTGGATGGTGAAAAACGACATGAATAAAGATAAGTTGTACGCTACCATGGCAACCGCTGATGTTAGCCATGGGCCGATTCTTTTAGCCAACATCCCAGAAAACACGACGGCTAAGTTCATGCCGAAGCCGTAAATAGCCAGCATCCATAGTGATCCGACACTATGCCCGTCTGGCCCGAGTTTGCTGATGTAATACGAGTCTATGTACGCTGACAAGTTCCCGTAAAACCACGGGACCGAGATTGGAATCGCGATTAGAAAAGTGCCAACAACTACGCCCAACTGAGTCCAGTTGACTTCTGCTAGCTTAGAAACAACGAATGCCATCACTCTATCGTGAGCTGATCTTTCAATGGCGACAGCAATATTCTGAAAACAAACGAAACGAAAGTAGAACTATTTTAGATCTTTAAAACATCTCTGGAATGTGTTAAAAACAAAATGGTATAATTGTATCCAAGAGTCCAGCAGGCCTATTGATGGAGGTTGGATGGGTTAACATTACTTCCTCATAAATCAGTAAACACCAAGTATTCATTATTCATCCATAACAACAGAGACAGGTGGCTCTCGTTCATGTGCTTTTAATTAAACACCCACAACATGCACGTTTCCTATTTATTCACTTTCCTGATGTCAGTACTCTGTATTAATATTGAAATATCGTCTCTTTCAAGTATTTGCAAACACCTCACGTAATTTGACTTTAATTTGTAAATTGGCATTATTTTTGTAATATATATATATATATATATATATATATATATATATATATATGTATATATATATATATGTATATATATATATATATATATATATATATATATATATATATATATATATATATATATATACAGTGGCGTAGCGAGGTCGGGTGTCACCCGGTGCGGCACGTAATGGTGTCACCCCCCCCCCCAGAGACGTTGCGACCCTTCCCGGGGACAAACCTTCAAGTTTTCGATTTGCACCCCCCCCCCTCAAACTTTCGATTTGCACCCCCCCCCCCTCAAGTTTTTCTTTATATATTTTGCTATTTTTTGCCTTGTTGTCACCCCCCTAAATGGTGTCACCCGGTGCGGTCCGCAACCCCCGCCCCCCCCCCCTCGCTACGCCCCTGTATATATATATATATATATATATATATATATATATATATATATATATATATATATATATATATATATATATATATATATAATAAAGCAATATATATGTGTGTGTGTGTCTGTCTGTCTGTCTGTCTGTCTGTCTTTTCTGAATTACTACACCATTAATCCGATCGCCATGAAACTTTATAAAGTTGTTGAAAATACCCTGTTTCAAATTTGCAGGGTTGGCGCCAAGACGCCCCGGCAGGGCGCGATTCGATCCTTTTCTACATATGGTTTATAAAATTAAAAGTCGATTGCTGTTTGACACCGTTCATTCAATCGCCATGAAACTTTAGGGAGTTGATGAGTACACTCCAGGGTCCAGGGGAGGTTTCTGCAAAAAATATTTTTTTAAATTTCGCAAGCGCAGCGCCCCGGTAGTGTTTGATTTTTCTCTACATACGGTATATAAAAAATAAAATTCGGATGCTGTTCGACACAGTTTATCCGAGTGACCTGAAACTTTGATATTCCTGGGAAGATATGTGCGAAAAAACAAATTTCTAATGGGCGTCGCGGTTCCAGAGCGGCTATGTTAGTAGTTGGTAGTATTATTTTTTTAATCATATATAACAGAGTTTCTTCCAGGCATCTTTTCGGTGGGGGGGGGGGGGGGGGGGAGGGGTTGAAAGCCCCCCCCCCCCCCGAAAATTCCCCCCCCCCCCCCCCCTCCCCCGAACGAAATGAAATTTATATAATTTATATAGAAAATTTATACTTTTAACAGTGTCCGTCCGCCCGAAGAAAGTTTACCACCCACCCCCCACCCCCGAAAATTTCAAGTGCCCCCCCCCCCCCCGGAGAAAAAAGTCTGGAAGAAACACTGATATATAAGCGACTTGACTTTTTTAATTGTTATTAATTCCAGGTTCCAAGTAGAAAGCCACTTATTTATCCTTAGTGTAATCCCTGCTGGGGGGGGGGGATAACTATACTATGTCCCTAGGCTTATCTAATTAACTGTCCCGTCAGTGCAACCGTGGTAAAACCCACGGTGGTCAAATCTTAACCTTAGACTAGATAAGAAACACACAAAAAAACTTTAACAATTTAATAAAATTTATTTTACAAAATTGAACCAATCTTTAAATAAAATAAACCGGGAGTGATCTCCCCTAAACTTTCTCGAATATTCTTATATAAAATAACAGGGGATGGGAACTCGGGCTATAGACATGATTTTTAATCCATTTTAAATACTTAAAGTTTTTAAAATAGAATAAAATCTCGTAGACAAATTAATTGCACACCAAGTGAACGCCAAATAAAAAAGCGCATAATAGTGCGCAATATTATTAGTACTTTTAAAATTTACATTCGTTTTTTGAGAAATCGGAAGTAGCGTAAATTACTACTTCCAGTCAACGGAAATTACTCAAAATTTTACAGAAGGTAGAGAATTAGATCTTTTACTTACATGTGAAATTTCATTTATCTATCTGAAATAGTACTCAAGTTATAGGCTTTTGAAAAATTCAAAGTAGGAAAAGTACCACTTCCGGTTATCGGAAATCGCTCAAAAGTTGATACGGATCTACGATTTTGATAAAATACTTATATATGAAATTTCATCAACTTAGCTGTAACGGTACTCAAGTTATCGTGTTTACACACGGACACACAGACACACAGACACACACACACACACAGACATACGGACAAGATTGCAAAATTATGTTTTTCCGTATCAGTGAGGTGTAAAACGTCGAGATCTGTAAAAATCTCGATTTTTTTTTTTTGCACGATTACAATACTTTCTCTATACTTCGTATATACGAGAAAGTAAATATAGATCTAAATAAATTAGACCAAAAACAAAAACCAGACAAAACACCCAAAATGGGACTACCGTACTAGAAAGAGGAAAAATAGACAAAAATTATTTAGAATGTTAAAAAGGTTATATATTAGGCATTAAGATGACACCATAATAAAATGGATATTGTACAAATTAAGCCTTTGAATTAAACAAAGGCTGACAGGAAAAATCTCAACAGTCCGCATGTAGTTCACACAGAACAAACTAAAAAAAAATAACTTGGAATATAACTATCAGGACAATGAGCACTAAACTACTAGCTCAAAAGACAACTATCAGCCTTAGCACAAAGCTCACGTTAAAATAAAATTGTATACTATCTATTAATGTCATCTGCACATCCATAGTGACTTAAAATAAACTAAACACTCTCCTGGAAATCAAGAAAGATCACCTCAGGAAGTGAACGTCGACTATAATGGCATAAAAATAGTATGAAACAGCTTACAAGTAATAATCTAATATATAAAGCTCAGTTCTGTATGTAATGCATTTGTATGTCGTTGGAAGTGTACGAATTTAAAAGTTAGAAAATTATCGTGCGCATTTGTCTAAATTTATGAGCTAAAAAATTACTATTGAAAGTGTTGGGAAATAATTTTCATTTTTCAAATTATAGTAATAATTGTCGGCATGTTCATTAAACACAAGTTTTAAAAAAAATATCATCTTTTACAAAAATTCTAATTATGTCTTTATTTAGTCCTATAGCACTTACTTCCCTTTGATAAATTAGGAAAAACACAATTACTTCCCTTTATAAAAACATTGCATTTTGTGGAAAAGTATTTACTTTTTAATTACTTTGTTTTGGTGTTGGGAAAAAAAATAATTACATAATTAGCGGGGATTGATCAAGTGCAAATGTTGTAGGTATTTTACGGATAAGCTTGGAGTATTAAAATTGTTCATCAAATTGAAACAGGCGCGTTCGTTTAAGTGAGTGCAAAAGACTATGAATAAGTTGGGGTACTATAGTCGTTCATTAAGCTAAAACAGGTGATTCCGCCCCGGGCGTTTATGTTCGCGTTAGTGTTTTCTTTGTGTTTAGGTGGGTTTGCGTTAGTGGTTGCGTTTTGATTTGGTTCGTTTTTGTTCTTTCTTTTTTCGTTTTTGTTTGTGTTTCTTTGTTTGGGTTTGTATTTGTGTTTTTGGTTGGTTTTGCGTTTGGATTTGGTTTGTTTTCGTTTGCTTTTTCGTTGTTGTTTTTTTTTTGTTGGTATTGGTGTTTGTGGTTGGGTTTGTTGTTAGGTTTTTGTTTTCGTTTGCTTTTTTGTTTGTTTTTTCTTTGTGTTTGTATTGGTGTTTGTGGTTGTGGTTGGGTTTGTTGTTAGGTTTTTGTTTTCGTTTGCTTTTTTGTTTGTTTTTTCTTTGTGTTTGTATTGGTGTTTGTGGTTGTGGTTGGGTTTGTTGTTAGGTTTTTGTTTTCGTTTGTATTTGTAATTGTGTTAGCGTTATGTTTGCGTTTTGTTGTTTTGGTTGGTTGTGGTTTGGGTGGGCAATGCCGGGTTTAGGATGATTACTAAACACACAGGTAATGGTCTTGAACAGAAAGGTTTTTCACAGAAGCCAGAGCAGGGCCTGGCCGGGACGGCTAGTAATCATTAAAAAAGTTTTAAAAAACCCACGTTTTCTGATTGAACTAAAAAGTAGAAAATAAATGCTATACATCACAATAATGCAAGCGATCACTCTACTATAAGCGATGAAAAACGTGGGGCGCCGAAGTAAAAGTTATATTACTATTGATTAGATAATACTATTGACTTTTATTAGGGAGCTTGTAGAGAGTCAACAGTATTAGAAACTGTAAGAAAATCACGGCGCCCCACGTTTTTGATCGCTTATAGTAGAGTGATCGCTTGCATTATTGTGATGTATAGCATTTATTTTCTACTTTTTAGTTCAATCAGAAAACGTGGGTTTTTTAAAAACTTTTTTAATGATTATTATTTTCTACTTTTTAGTCTTTGTCTGTTTGTTTGCATTAAAATCTTGCTATCGATTTTATCTTTTCACTTTTTTTTTTGGGTAAACGAAGACAACTCGTAAAAAGACAACTCGTAAAAAGACAACTCGTAAAAAACACGTTGTGTGAATACGTTACTGACTAGAACACATAGATTTGAACCCGTGTCGAGTGGGATAGCAATCGTGTGCCCAACCACTCGACCATATCGTCTCCCTCATACTGGCCACCAGTTGTTACGGTTGTTTGTACACAAATTACAGTTACTGGGTTATGTCCCTTTTTCCCCACGTTTTTACTACAACGAGCCGACCCGCGGCGTATCATACGCCGCTATTTAGTTGATTTATTTTCTACTTTCAGTAATTCATAATTTGTGAATTCGACA